GCGCTGAAGGCTCTCTTCGCTTTGGCATGCAGGGGAAAGGGCAGTAGAATATTGACACGGCTCCTCAGATATGCCGGGGTCAGGGAGGTACAGCAGAGAGTGTGCAGGGACGGCTGATTTGCCTCTTGTGTTGTTATGATCATGACCTTGGGCGATTTCATTGAGAACCGAGAACCACAGCAACACAGACTCGATTTCCAACATTCCAGAGGGAGGGACGAACTGTTGGCATCTGTCCTGTCCCAAGGATGCCCTGACCTGTTGCTTTTCCCTCCCGCCTGGCACCAAGGCCTTGGCCGTGCTGAGCTTCAGCCACTTTTGAGGGGCTCATGAAACAGGTGGGCCCAGGGCCAGCCTTGCTTGTGTGGGCTCAGCCCTCTGCACCATTGCAGATCCCGACATGCCCGCATCCCCTCGGCTCCCAGGTGGGCTCCCCGTCCACCACCAGCCGCCAGGGAGGCTGCAGTTTCCCCAGCAGCCCTTCCTGACGGCCTCTGTCCTTGAGTGAGTTTCCACCCTTTATTGTAATTCCAAGAATGAGAATGAAAACTCCTGGGCGAGGTCTTCACTTACCGCTTTGTCTCCTCAAACTACACTGTGGGTTTTCTCAGAGCAGGGACCTGGCTGTCTCGCTCACTGTTGTGTTCCCAGCATGCAGGACATTTCCTGGCAGGCAGAAGGCACTCAGCAAATGTTTGCTGAGATACTTAGTGAAGAAATGAACAAATGCATGAATGACACTGGCAGGTAATATTCTGTGTCGGATGAGGATACCACAGACTCCTAGTTACCCATTCTAGTGTGTCACTGTATTGTCAGCTTTGAAGGCTCGCTTTAAAAATCACACCTGTTAACCTGTTACTGTGCATCGATACCTTTGTATGAGTGAGTTTACAGGATTTCGAGATACCTGAGGAAATGGACTGGGCCTGGTACTCTCGGGGCTTGGAAACAGGGGCGTATACGTGTGTGAGGCAGTAGGTGAGCAAGAAAGACCTGGAGTGCAGGCTATGGGGTGTCATCCACAAGGGCTTCTGAAATGAGGGGCGCCTTGTGGGCATGACCCCTAGGAGAGTGTCCTTGAAAGGGAAGAGGACTGGGAGAGGGAAGCAAGAGGTCAAGTGTTCCTGTTAGCCCCGAGGCCAAGCCTGGGTGGGACGGGGTACCTTAGACCCAGAGGGTGGGGGTGGGGGGTCCAGGTGAATTTCTGGTTCTTGTTTTTGGCTTCTTAGATGAGAGGTAGTTCTCCAGCTCACCTCCAGCCATTTGTTTGTTTATTCCTTGAACTGAGCCACACTGACCATCTCCAGTGCACTGAGGACATGTTCTAGGCGTTGAGGGTGCAGTGAAGAGCGAGCTAGGTGAATTTCCTGTACTCCCTGAGCTTACAGTCTGGCTGGGGAGAAGTAGACAGGAAAATCAGCCTACAATGATGCCAGAACACCATGGTGACCAGAAGGAAATGGAGCAGGGACTGGCAGCGGTGGACGACAAGGTGCTGTTTTAGACAGCACAGTCAGCGTGGCTGCCTTGAGGAGGGGGCACCAGGGCAGAGAATAAAGGAAGGGACCCTGACACCCGGACTGGTTGTTGGTGAGGGGCAAAGAGACTGAATGCAGGTCCAGCTCTGTTGCTTCTGCAGGCACGCAGCGCTGGGCCAAAGACGTTCGTTCTCTTTGGAAAGAATTCTTTCGTCTGAGCTGAGCAGGGGTCTTTGACAGGTGTGCTGGGCGTCCCTGACTTTGGGACCCCGAGCCTCTGGTTGATGCTTTGTGAAGTGGGGACAGCAACTAGATCCCCTTCATAGGGCTCTCTCGTAGGTTAAATGAGCTGATGTGTGTGAGAAGAGCGCTTGGTGACCTGTGAGGGATGGAGTGTAATTCACATGTTCCCCAGTCATCAGCCTTCAGGGTGTTGAAGCCCCACCAGCCGTTAGCTGCCTGCTGATTCTGCGGAGCTGTTGGACACCCTCCTTCGTGCCCCCAAGCCTGATCCCCTGCCCTCTGCCCAGGACTGTATTAGTGTTAGGGTCCTGCAGTCAGAGGCTAAAAGCAGTTCATGCAGGGCTGGCTGGGTTTTGGCTGGCATGTCAGAGCATTGCAAAGTCACCGATGTTTGTTCTGATGGGTTGGTGTCTGTACCAGATCAGATGTAAAAGTTTTTTGACTCTCAGTCTAGTTAAAAGGATAAACTCTGGAGCCAGCAGGCTTGAGTTCAAATCCCAGCTCCACTACTTACCAGCTTTGTGACTTTGGGAAAGTTACTGTCTCTACCTCTGTTTTTACATCTGTAAAATGGGAATTATAACTGTACCATCTCATAAGCCTGTTGGGAGAATTAAATGTATTATGCAAAGGTACTTGAAGTGGCACCTGGCATCTAGCCCTAAGTAAGTGTTTGTTTTTCTTATCATTACTTTTATTCCTCCACTACTTCCACTGTGACTTCCTATGGAGAAGAGTCTGTTTTGTTCATCTCTTAGTTCCCAATGGCTATGTCAGGCTTGGCAAAGGGCTGGCACTCAATAAATGTTGGGTGGGTGCATAGATGAATGGGTGGATGGATGGATGGATGGGTGGGTGGGTGGGTGGGAGGATGGACAGACAGATGGATGGGTGGATGGATGGATGGGTGGGTGGATTGATAGACAGATGGATGGGTGGATGGATGGATGGGTGGATGGGTGGATAGATGGATGGGTGGATGAATGGATGGATGGATAGGTGGATGGATGGACAGATGAATGGATGAGCTACTTTTTACTTCTCCTAGACTTTATGATCAAGGCCTTAAGAGGGATGAAAGAAAATGTGGAGGGTGCTGATGGTATGGTTTGGAGAATGGGTAGATCATGGTGCAAACCCCCTTCCCTACAGAAATGCCTGAACATTGAAGGGAGAGGGGTCCTGGCTCATCTCAGTTGGGTTCCGCAGCTGACTGGTGTGGGCTCTGTGCTGGGCACATTCAGCACTATCCATCTCTGACTCCTCACAGCCACTCTAGGACGTATACTCTTACTAGTTCCACTTTACAGATGAGTAAACTGAGACTTGGAGAAGTAAAGTGCCTTTCTTAAGGTCACACCCAGGACTACTCTAAGTTCAGAATCTTTACCCTCAACCCTTAACGCTCCACTGTCGGGTCTGTTCCTCAGCCACGTTATTGACAGTTTTGCTCCATAGCACTGGGCCAAGGACTTAGTCTTCAGAGACCCTTCTGTTCACCGAGGTGAACGGGGACTCTTGACAGGTGAACATGCCAGCCCTGAGTGCTGGTCATTCTCACCTTGGGGTCTTGTACACCAGCTTCTTCTTGGGAAAATTCTATGATTTCTCTAGAGCAGTTTGGCTGAGTTCACTCCCTTCATAGGTAGTGATCAAGCTGGCATCTGGTGGCACACACCCTAAATTTGGAAATGTGATAGACTGTGACATTGATAAAAAGGGGAGGTACTTAGGAATGGAGAAAACGCAGTGTTTTTTGAGTTCTTATAACACACCAGCACCTTGTGTACTTTCTCACTAGTCTTCATGTCAATGATGTGAAAGGCATTTTGTCATCTTTATGCTGTGGGTAAGGAGACCGAGGCTCTTATTGGCTCTTACTGGGTCCCTGGCCTGCCCAAGCCATGTGATTGATAAGGGCTCCTCCTGAGATTTGAACCTCAGGCTTCCAAACTCTCCCCTTCACACTCATCTTCCCTGGGAACATGCTGCTGGCGGTGAGAGGAGTGAGGTTCCTGCAGATTTGTAACTGTCTGTCCTCGCAGTATGGAGTTAGTCTAATTGAAATATGAGTAAGTTCACAATTGCTATGTTCTCCATTCTCTGACGGCTGGATGACAGTCTCAGACAATGCTGGGTTCTCCCCCATCAACCCCCACCTTTCAGGGAAAATCTCATCACTAAAAAGAAATCCCAGTGGTGTATACCCCAAAGATTTGAAGGCTGGGACTCCCAAAATATATTTATACACCCGTGTTCATAGCAGCATTATTTTCAATAGCCAAAATGTAGAAGTAACCCAAATGTCCATCAGTGGAGGACTGGATGAGCAAAATGTGGTATCAACACACAGTGGAATATTATTCGGCCTTAAAAAAGAAGCACATTGTAACACATGCCACAACGTGGGGGACATTATGCTACATGAAATAAGCCAGACACAAAAAGGCAAATATTGTATGATTCCACTTACATAAGGCACTTACTTAGAGTAGTCAGATTTGGAGAGACAAAGTAGAATGACGGTTGCCAGGGGCTGGGGTTGGGGCAAATTGGGAGTTGTTGTTTAAGGGGTATGGCGTTTTAGTTTTTCAAGATGAAAATGTAGGGAGATGGATGGTGGTGATAGCAGAACAGTGTGCTTATTTAGTGCCACTGAACTGTGCACTTAGCAATGGTGACCGTGATATATGTCATATGTATTTTACCACAATAAAAAAGAAATCCCATTTGTATAGGAGCAGTTTAATATTTTCTGATAGGAAGGATTTGAATTTGGCTTCAAGGAACGCACGCTTCTCTAGTCTTTACCGGTGGAAAGTGGGAATCAGTTGTGGTTCTGCAGGGCTCCTCCAAGTAGAGCAGGTACCTCGATGACTCTTGGACAACTTTCTCCTGGGCTGAGAATCTCCTTCCTCCCTCCTTCCGTCCCTTCCTTCCTTCCTTCCCAGCATGTTTATCAAATGTTTTTATCAAAACGTACCATGTGCCGGGTGGTAGAGCACATGCTTAGCATGCTTGAGGTCCTGGTTTCAATCCTCAGTACTGCCCCTAAGAATAAATAAATAATATGTAAACCTAATTACCTACCCCCACCCCCAACAACAACAAAAAACCTACCACGTACCATTCGCTCTGAAGACACTGGACATGGTAATATGTGGTTTGTGCCTAAATGTGCTCCCATTTTACTATGGTGTACTGGTGTGTACCAGCCTTGGTTTTGCTTGATAACTGATTCACTCTCCATTTGTTTTCTACATTGATTCTTTTCAGAACAGACTGGACCAGATGCTTCGGCTTGAATTTCCGATGCTCCACAAAGGCCGAGCTGAAGGCCGCACCCCTAGGAACTTGGTAAGTTTGGGTGACTGTCCTTGGCCAGTGGGCCGCTGAGAAGTTCAAGTGGGCTGGGCCCTGGAGAGTCAAGCATGAGTGTTTGCAGTTTTCTGAGTTTGGCGTCGTGGGCATTTGCCTGGCATGCTGGAGGGAGAGAGTCTGACTTGGATTCTGGGGGCTTGGAAAGACAGTCAGAAGACTCTGCCCTTCCCTGAAGTAGCTGTGCATTTATTTAAAGACTTGAAACCGTTCTGATACTGGAATTTCCCTCTGTGTTTATTTTCACATCTGGGTGATGGTCTTCTGCCCCCGGAGGACTTTTAATGAATCACTTTAGAGATTGCTCTTAATGTTTCCCAGGCGAGAGGGGGCTGGCCCTGGTCTTTTCTGTCTGAGGCCTGACGGGGCAGGACTGACTTGGCTTCCCGGCTGGCTGCCTGGAGCTGCCCCTTGGGGGAAGCAGACAGGCATTTCTCGTCTTTCTGGGAGAACTGCTCGTGCAGAGCTCCTGATCCCAGGGCGCTCTTTCCATGTGAGGAGAGGAAAAAAAGGTGGAATGGAATATAAATAAAAGAGAGAGACTGGTTTTAACTGGTACAAGATGTTACGGGCTGCGCCCTCGGTAGCCACTGGCAGCCACCACCCGTCTGCGTTCCCGGGCTCTGGTTTGCGGTGGCAGGAGCTCCAGGAGACAACGCTGGCTGGGGTCACTCCCAGACGGCAGCTTGGGAAGCCTGGGAAGGTGCTGGCTCAGCCCAGCAGTTATTGGCTGCCGGGTGCCTTCCGACGGACGCCAGTTCCCAGGGCCCGGCGGTGGCCAGTGTCTCTGTGACCACATCGGGTCAGTGATGCCTGCTCACTCTTAGCCTAACGGACAGACTCCTTTGCAGTCACATCTGGGCTCTGTGGCCCACTGTCGGCCCCCTGCCCCCGCTCCCCCGCCATACTCCACGTTCCAGCCACATCTCATACATTCTACTGGGTACTTTCTAGGTGTCCCCACCCCAGTTGCCCCTGCACTCTGCTCTGCCCAGCTCTGAGCCCTGGGAGTCGGACCTCTAGGGGTGCATCACCCAGGTGCCCCTGCCCCGCCCTCTGGCTTCCCACTGGTTTGTGCCTATGGGGAGCCCCACCGGAGCTCTGAGGAGGGAGGGCAAAGAGAGGTGGAGGGAGGTGCTCCCCGGCTCCCCACTGTGTGATCATCGCAGGCTGGCTGCGTGCCTTAGAAGGTTCCTTCTCTTTCCAGGTGGCCCCTCAACATAAGTTTGTCTTTCTGCGTCCAGGAAACAGCTGCCTCCCTTCATCCTTTTGGGTCCAGGGGTGAACAGTCCCCAGAGTTCTGCACTATCTCTTGCGGTTTCCCTGTATCCTGCCCACACTTTCGTCAATAGTCTGTTTACTAAATCCTTCTCGAGTCCTCTTCATCTGAGTATTCCTGCTGCGATGCAGACTGATACGCGCACGCCAGGTTGTTTCCTAAACCTGTACCTTTTCTCATGTTTCTGCCTCTACTAGAATTCCCTTCTTCACGTTGATTACCTATTAAACTGCTCCTCATCCTTCAAAATCACACTGAAACATCACCTCTGTGAAGCCTACCTTGGGGCTCCTTTTGTGATGTTAACCTTGTCCATAAACTTACCATCTCCACTCTATCCACTTGCTAATCAGACACATCCAGACTTGCCCTCATCAGAATTTTACAACGTTTAATTCCTTCAAAATCTGATTAAGTGACTGTCTAAAGTGCCTGCTTCAATGCCTGGCCCGGAGTAGATACTCAACAGATGATAGCTGTTATCTGACAACTTCATACTAAAATGTGAGTGGCTATCTGTTTTACTGCATTATCCCTTCCAGGAACAGCTTACATTTATAAGGGACCTTTTAGAGTTAATAGTCCCTGCAACGAATCTCTAAATTGGCAGAGTGGGGCAGAGCAGTGTCCAAGGGTCTTCCTTTGGGGCTTCTCAAATTATATCAAGTCCAGGGCCTCTCTGTCTGTAGGTCTGAGAAAACGGAGACTCACTTCAGGTCAGTCTCCAGTACACAGAGGCTGCTTGGAAAGGGGACAGGTTGCTCAATAGTGGCCTGGGGGTAGGGGAGCAGGGTCTGTGGGAAAAGACAGATGGACACACCTCTGCTCGGCTATTAGACCCTTCCAGTGCTAATGGAATGTGATTTTCTAAATTGTGACTGGCCGACTTCCTTCTCTTGTGGTTGAGTTTGTAATAACATAGACTATGACTCTAGTTTTGCCAAAGTGGAAAAAAAAATGCCATCCAATGGATTTTTATGATGGTTCTTAAACATTTTCAAAAATGTTATTAAAGATGCCGTTCAGTAAGCCATTTTAATGTCTTGCTTTGGGGCTGATGAGCCAAGGCACAGAGTTACAAGGCTGGGCGTGGGCAGCTGCGGGATGCTACACATGGGAAGCGCCAACCCTGGTTAAGTCGCTCCGTGCAATTTTGCCTAAAAATGGGGCTACGTAAGTACAAATCCAGAGTATTTCGATTGTCCATGGCTTGGGGCAGAGATCAAAGTAAAGCATCTTGCTCCTCATTAAGTTCAAGATGCCAAGGAGCCTGCTGTGTACCAAGAAGTCCGAATACATCCTTCGCAGATTCCAGAGCATCTCGGCTCACCTCTTAGATGGTAGAGAGGCTGGGCTGAGCGGAACCACCTGCTGCAAGCAGACCTCCTCCCTGCTCTGCGGAGAGGAGTGGGCCAGTCTGACAGGGTGTCACATGTTTTCTAAAAGGGTCCCACGAGGTCCACGCAGCTGGCCAGCTAGCAGAATTCCTGGGAAGAACCAAAAGTGGTGTTTGCTGAGTTAGGGGTGTAAATGCTCAGTGTCTTGGAGTGCGCAGGACAGAAGGATTCTTAGGGAGGTGATAACCTCAGGTGAGCAGAATGGATTCTGCGAAGCTGTCATATAGCCACTGTGAGGTCTCAGAACCCAGGAAGGGAGGCTTGTGAGCTGGGCTGCAAGATGGGTTTGTCTTGGTTATTAATCGCAACCTAAATTGACCTCTTGTCTGCTTCGCACCTGGGCTGTCCGACACCCACATGGTCATGGTCTCCACCGCCCAGCACGGCTCCGGTTATACACATCTTCTGTTGCTCTCTGGTTGCACCTCCAACTTAGTAGCTGCTCAATAAATGCTTGTCAATGGGATAGTTCTGAACTTTCCCTGGATATGCTCTTAGTTGTCCCCAAATGCAGTGTATTTCACCTCTTCTGCATGGTGTTTATTTTCTTGGATTGTGAGCTGGTCTCAGGAGGTCCCTTCCATTGGTCAGAGGTGAGTGACACGCTTGCTTTGTGTCTCTGATCTGAGAATGGCGTTACTGTCCTTCAAGCTTTATGACTTGGGACGATCTGACATGCTCTCCGAGCTAAGCAGTGGTTTGAAATCCCCCCTGTTTCAAAGAACTGCACATAAATATATTCAAGGCATTTCCAAAATTCCCAGTCAAAACATTTTGGGCAGAGCAGCCAGATTTTGTAAAGAAAAAAAAATGGTGGCAGTTTAACGGGCAGAGATGTTCCGAGTAAACTGGCGCTTGAGTGACTATCCAAGTTGAGAGGCGGTTCGACTAGCATGTTCAGGAGTTGAGGTCTCCAAGCTGACTTGTCATCGGAGCTACTTCAGCGGGTCATGTGGAGAGGCCCTGGTCACCTCACGGAGTAGGTGGACCTGCTCAGAAAACAGTAGTCACTCCCCTACCCTCCAGCCACCCCACCACCCCTACAGGTTTCTTTTTCAGGAAGGTGACAGGTGAATGTGGTGGCAGAAAGATTTGCCTAAGAATGGTGGTGGATGAAGGTGATGGAGTGTGCCTAGCTTTGTTCTTTCTTCCTCCCCACCTGGAGGCTAGAATGCCTTCCCTCGAGAGCAGTGGTAGAGAATCAGGGAGGTGCTGGCCCACCTGGAGTAGTGGGACCCAGTGAGTGGCCTCGAGGAGTCCCGTGCATGCGGGTCCCGCGGTGTCCTCCCCGCCTCCTCTGAGCACATGGCTCCTAGCTTCTGACTTCCTGTGCTCTAGGGCAGGTGCCTTGGGGAAAGCAGACCCTGTGGCAGAGGCGTGAAGATGCTGAAGCTAATCTTTACATTTATGGAGCGTTCTGTGACCCGAGGCAGGTCTCCTTCCATCTTTCTGCCTCAGTTTCCCTATTTTTGTAAGGCATCTGATGCAGCCAGGAGGGGACCCTGTTCAGAGAGGGGTTTGTCCTCATCTGACCCCATTTGCTCCCATCTGTTCAGGGGTGGCCTCTCACCTCGCTGCTCCCCAGATCTGTTTCACTCTCAGTGAGTGGCCAGTTTCTCTCCCTCTTTGATGTTTATCGATAATAATTTGAGGACTGTTTTCTTGAAGGGCTCCCTGAATATAAACGAGGACTCTGGAAGGTCAGGAGCCTCTGAGGTGCAGATGAACGAATCTCCAGTGATGGTATTTCAGCAGATTTTTTTATTTTCTTTTTTCCAAAGGGAGTCTTTTCTAAAATGCCCTAAGTCCCATCAGTGGTAGAGGAATCTTTATATAATTGGGGTGATGTAGTTTGCTTTTCCTGCAACATTATAATGCACCTATTTTTCTCTTGTCATTAAAACTATTTTGTAGGCATCAATTTTTTTCTAACATCTTTTTATAAAAACTTTTTAAACAATGCAGAAAAGTTGAAAGAATTTTATAGGGAGCAAGCATATACCAACTACTTAGATTCCACGTGCATTATTGTTTCCCTCTACCTGTTTTTATCATGTATCTCTCCACATAGCCCTTCCTGTCTGTATCCACCCATCAGTAGTTTTGGGGTGGATTTCAGAGTATGTTGCCAATATCAGTATACACCCCCAGTATACTTCAGCATGTGTGTTGTTAACTAGAGTTCACTATTAGCTTACAGGTTTTTTTTTTTTAAACATACAATAAAATGCACACATCTTAAGTGCACTATTTTATTTATTCATTTTTTTTCACTTTTAGGTATTTTCTTGTTAAAACAACAT